GTTTCCTGTTAGAGCGTACTGTTGCTCACAGATATCATATTGTACTACCGTTTCCTGTTAGAGCGTACTGTTGCTCACAGATATTATATTGTGCTATTGTTTCCTGTGAGAGTATACGGTTGCTCAAAAGGAATTTCCTGTTACTTACAAGCACTAATTCAGACCTAAGACCAGGATGATGCTGTGCAAAGCTAACAAGTATAACATTTACCTTCCGCACCGATTTATGCAAATATGAGCAGAGATATCATTCATAGGCAAACATGAAGCTAGCTGCTGAAGTGGATTTAACAGCAGAAACAAAAGGAGAACATGGTTCGGGAAGACACAAGCTGTGGCGGGTCCTGCCCGTTAGCATATCACGGACCACGGCGGGTCCTGGCTGTTGGCTGAGCCGCATTGTCACCATGGCTCTCCTACTGATGTTCTTTTAGTCCTAACCCCTGACAGAGCCCTGACAATATTGTGCTGTTGCTTAAAAGCACGGCATGCAACCAAAGCCCTCGGCTGGCATAAAAGCGGCTGTATTGGGCTGCACAGCCACAGGTGAAATTCGAGTCCAGAGTGAAATAATGTGACCGGCGCCGTCAGCAGGGTCCATAAGGGAGCGCGGCGAAGCCTCACAAAGACCCCACTGTGGCACCGTGTCCAAGCGAACAAAAGTCTGAGTCACACACACACAGGCTCAGAAGCGCGATGGCTCAGGGCTACAGACCCAGAAAATCTTTCAGCTGTCACAGAGAGAGAGCATTGAGTCGTGGCTTCCAGAGGGCCACTAATTGCTTGTTTTACAGAGGAAGAGCCCCTGTGTGTGAGACACACACTGGAGCACATTCATTAACACAAACAACAGAGTGCAGTGTTCCAGGCCTTACACACCCTTAACACAGGGATGCAGAATGCAGAGAGGCCCTGCCTTCAGCCTGCCGGCCTCTTAGAAGGACTTCCTCTGAAGTAGCTGGCCACTTGACAAGTGTGGGAATGTATTTCTTTAAGAGGAGGGCACTAGGCTCTCCTGATGGGTTCTGCTACGCAGCAGACCTCCTACCAGGATGCCCACGTTTCATCCCTGGCCCTGGGACGTTATGGCAAGCTCGGCATAACGAAGAGCGAGAGGACAGTGTGCTCCAGACAAACCCTGCACTCAGCTCCTGTCTTTGCAAAGGATGAGGCACCACTTGCATCCAAGCCCAGTAAGGTGACACCCTTGAAGACCCATCAATCTCACGGTTCTTAGGTCTATGCCTCACGTATCCTGGATGAGTGTGAAAGCCCATCTAGCACACACACACGAGCACGCAGGCTCACACACGCAAACACTCCTTCTTCATCTCTTTCCCTCCCCTCACACTGGAGTCACTGGAGCGGAAAATGTTCCTGGATTACAGGCTCTGCAGGAATGAAGTGCTGGAACAAGGAAGGAGGTGGAATTTTCTCAATGAATCCAGGGCCAGAAAAAGCCTGAAAAGTGGTGGGGGGGCATCCTAGGACTGCATGGCACCTCCACGGTGCTTCACTGGGACAAGCATGCTCCGCTTAGAAGATCGACGATCTCCCAACAAACGATGCTAAGTGCTGTTAACCCTGACGCAGGTAAATTGATGGATGATGCCGCCTCCCTCACGCACACACACACACACACACACACACACACACACACTCACGCAACGCAGCACTGGGTCCCCATGTACTCGCACTCCTCCACCTGCCCTTTCCCACTGCATGTCAGGGAGGGGGCAGAGCTGTATCACTTGTCCTGAGCCAACTCATCACAATCACCCTCATCCCTACCCTGCTTCAGCCAGAGATGCACCGTGTGCATGTGATGCCAAAGCGTGAGCTGCCGGGAGCGTCAAGCAGAAATCCTGCAGCGCTCTCTGATCTCAGCAGGGATCCTGACAACAGGGACGTCTGGCCCCTTGAGCAATGGGGTTAACGGTGACCTCCCCGAACGTCAGTGAGAGCTGTGTGAAAGCAGCTGCCAGGCCGACTTTCAGAGAAGTGTACCTTCGAATGTATTCTGTTGCCTGCTTGTATTAAGCACTGGCATGAGGACGGACCAGGAGATCTGAGGATGGGATGGGACAGGATGGGATGGGACAGGAGAACAGAGTAGAGGAGAAGAAAGGAGAGGAGGAACAGGAGAGAGTATGAGAGTATGACAGAACAGGAGAGAAGAGGATGAGAGAGGAAAGGAAAGGTGCCATGGCTACTGCAGGACTGTGCAGAGGGGAAATGGCCGCATCTGCCTGCAGCCAGAACTCCCCCCCCCACGACACACACACGCACACAAACAAACGTTTGGCCAATCCCGTAACCATTCAGCTGGTGTCTGCCTGTATTCCCCAATCCCTTAGGAGGCTCAATGCACGGAAGGCCCTGAAAACTTACCTCCCGGCGTCTGGAGGCCCAGCAGGTCTGCTTGATTTTCCACACAACGGCCGCCACCAGCAGGAGGGACAGGAAGCAGCTGGAGAGGAGCAGGACAGACAGCAATCAGTCAAAAGGTGTAGGAGGAACAGGAAGCAGCTGGAAAAGGGGCGGGACAGGATGCAGTCAGTCAAAAAGTGTTGGAGGAACAGGAAGCAGCTGGGAAGGGGCGGGACAGGAAGCAGTCAGTCCAAAGGTGTAGGAGGAACAGGAAACAACTGGGAAGGGGCAGGACGGGAAGCAGTCAGTCAAAAGGTGTAGGAGGAACAGGAAACAACTGGGAAGGGGCAGGACGGGAAGCAGTCAGTCAAAAGGTGTAGGAGGAACAGGAAGCAACTGGGAAGGGGCGGGATAGGAAACAGTCAGTCAAAAGGTGTAGGAGGAACAGGAAGCAACTGGGAAGGGGCGGGACGGGAAGCAGTCAGTCAAAAGGTGTGGGAAGAACAGGACACCTGGGGAGGCTGACTCAGGGTGACATGAGCACGGACTACAACAGGCCAGCATGGGGTTTGCTCGCCCACTTACAGGCTGCGGCTGGCTGAGCCTGTCACCCACCTCACACCTCACAGGCGTGAAACACACAGCGGCTTCCCATGGAGAAGATAACGGAGCGGTGCAGGCAGCAGATGTGCACTGGTGTGTAAATGTTTACACTATGTATCACCAGGGGGTCCGGAATGGTGGTGCTGCAGACACCTCTGTAACAGCTTCACAGATTATCATATTCTAACCCATGAACGTGTCTGACCCCTCCCCCCAGAGTTCAGGTCCTCCCCAAGGGCGTTTACATATTAGTGTGTGGCATCTAAGTGGCCTTAAACAGAAACACTTTTCTCCTCAGTGTAATCAGATTCTCAGATTCTCTCCTAATTAATGGGTTTCTCATCCTTGAAGACCTTCTCTTCCTTGACAGTCTTCTCCCCATTGATGAGCTTCTCCTCCTTTACATACTACTCCCTCTTAACAGGCTTCTCCTCCTTGACATGCTGTTCCCCCTTAACAGGTTTCTTCTCCTTGATGGTCTGCTCCCCGTCAATGTACTTCTCCTTAACAAGATTCTCCTCCTTGATGGGCTCCTCCATCTTAATGGGTTTCTCCTACTTGAGGAGCTTATACCAGGTTTCTCCTTGATGAACTGCTCCCCCTTATTAGATGTCTCTTACTTAATGAGTATCTCCTCTTTGATGAGCAGCTCATTGACAGGTTTTGCCCCCTTGACGAGCTTCTCTTCTTTGATGGGTTTCTCCTACTTGAGGAGCTTATACCAGGTTTCTCCTTGATGAACTGCTCCCTACTACAGGTTTCGCCCCCTTGACGAGCTTCTCTTCTTTGATGGGTTTCTCCTACTTGGCGGGTTTCTCCTCTTTGATGGACTTCTCATCCTTGACGGGCTTGTCCTACTTGGCAGGTTTCTTCTGCTTGACGAGCTTCTACATTCCAGGTTTCCCCTCCTAGACGGGCTTCTCCTCCTTCTGCTCTGTGCACCCACTACACTAATTCTATGCATTTTACTCAGTCAGGAAGATGAGGGGAACAATAACAGCGAATTCCGCTGTGGCTGCAGGTTAAAATCCACAGCAGTTAATATTCACAGACCTCCCCAAATGCATGCAGACGCAGCTGGGCTGCCAGGGACGTGGGAGGTAGGCGCAGCCCAAGCCGGCGTGATCCATCACGGCTCACAAAGTGATGTGGTTTGATTTCAGCGCCCGACTGCAGTATTTCCTTACGCTGAACACAAGACAAGCAGCGCATTATGCCAGAGACAAATGCGACAGCAAGAGAGCTTACGGAAGCACGGCCGTCCGCTCACATCGGCTGGCCTTCCTTCCGGCACATTCTGACATATCTGTCACTGTCATTGGTCTCTTTGCTCCATGAAAGCAGAGAGAGAGGCGGAGAGGAACTGCGAGCGGGATGGGAACACGACGGCCGGGGTGAGGTGAACGGATGCGCTGCCAAAACACTGCTGCGTGTCCTGTGATGGTAAGATGTGATGTAAGGGGAGGCGCCGACGGCCAAGGCACCAAGCTAGAACCAACAGAACCCCAGGCAGTCCGAGCCATGCTGCAATGCATCCTGGGAGTGAGCGGGAGGCCTGAATTCTGAAAGACAACTGGAGGCCTCGCAGGGTCACCCACTTCTCATGCCGTCAGCGGGAACAAATGCAGTAGGTAACGGACAGGTGTGAATCGGAAGATGTTTGCTGTCAGTGCCCGTCTCAGCACCGAAACCCAAGAATGCAGACACCTAGATCCTGATCCTCCAACAGAGGATGGAACAGAACGGCAGCTACGCAAAACACCGTGTAAAACAGACCAACAGAGCTGTTGACGGTCATTTGATTTGAGGTAAGTGGATTCCTGGAAGACAATCGTCAGCTACAAAAATTACAGCCAGCTTGTAAAGCCACGAAGGCATTTTCAGAGCAAATTGAAAAGGCGTCTTTCAGCATTTCTCACTGTGTTTCAGTCCTCTCTTAAAGAGCATGCTTTCCCGAGAACACGGTGGCACGCAGCTTTCTCCTGACCTCACCGGCGTGATGGTGATGTTTCCTATGGTCGCACTTTGACTGGCCTGGGCTTTGATGTGTCCCATTTCACAGCTGGTGTCACAGTGCCGGGGGGGCACAGAGCACCATGACTACCTGTCATATTGGGAGGTATTGCGGCCACCCAGGGCCAGACCCACCGCCGATGTCATTTCATGGCACATAAGCAGTGGTGGCCACGTGTCTGAACTGCAAGAGTCATGAAAGGGGACCGGCAGGGACTAAGTGGGGGACGGGGACTTTGTATGTGTGGGGGGACCAAAGTGCTATAAATGGTAGAAGTTTCAAGCCCAGAGAGGAGGCCACATTGTGTTGTGCCGTGCCTACAGGGGAGGAGCACACACAGTGACACGCCCACAGGGGAGGAGCACACACAGTGCTACGCCCACAGGGGAGGAGCACACACAGTGCTACGCCCACAGGGGAGGAGCACACACAGTGCTACGCCCACAAGGGAGGAGCACACACAGTGACACGCCCACAGGGGAGGAGCACACACAGTGACACACCCACAGGAGAGGAGGCCACATTATGCCTATAATGTAGGCTTGAAGTATTTTTACCTGCATTATAAGTACACGGCAGTTTACACTGCAGCTGATTGGCTGATCGGTGATATCTGACATACCAAGCTGTCGCAACCATGTAACAGTGAATTAGCTTGTTACACCCAGCACCATGGCGACCGCAGACATCCATCACTGGGGAGGATACAGGCTGCATTCGCAATGGAGTAACCAGTGATAGCAACAAGCAAGGAAGCCAACCCCCAGGGCCGATAAGGGTAACCATGGAAACAATACACCTGTCAAACAGGACCCCTGAATTTACCTCAACCATAGACTGGCCAGCGATAGAATCATGCAGAGAAATTCCACAGGTCAGCAACAGAGAGCTGGAGCCAGTGACGCCGGTGAGCCATGGGCAGGACCTGCCTCGCCAGGCGGCACCCAGCTCTGCATTTTAATGTGCGGCAGGGATACAGCTGAATTTTCATACATATTCATACTACCCCCCCCCCCGGTAATGGAGCCCCTGGTAATGTCAGAGGTCACCACAGAAGCCTGAGTGGGACGCACAGGCGACGGAGCCCTCGACAGAGTGATGGAGACGAGGTGGTAAAGGCACATGTGACCCCCTCTACAAGACGCGCTGCACCTTTAAGACACTATGACACGGTGCACTGTTACACCCTATGCCAAAGTCCCCCGACACGATGGTACTCCAGCTCCACCCACAGGAAGGAAGAGGTCCTGTGCAGCCCTCCCCCACCTACAACGTGCTACCTGATTGGATGGCAGCATCACACCTATGTCCCGCCCATGAACCCCAGAAGACAGACTCACCTGAAGAAGGTGACGAAGAACTGGACCAGGTCCATGATGCTGTTGTGTTGGGAGAAGGCGATCTGGAAGGACAGAAGTGGGGGGAGGATGCTTTATTTGCCATTTGTACAATTACAGCTATGTAGAAATTATTTTTGTTGTCACATTTCCCATCATGCTCTCCTCTCTGACATAAACTTACTTAGGTGCATCCTGGGATGTATCTCAGTAGGTATACTTGACCGTACTTGTGTTCTCGTTTTGTGACCGAAGACCAGTTCCAATAGAACGGAAGTATGGAGGACTGTAAAAATCCCCAGATGTCATTCTTGCCGTCCCAGATATCAAGGATAAATTGATTGCATCCTTGCCAAATAAGACAAATCCAATGAATTATTGCAGCCCAAGTTCATCCTTGGGAAGCAGGTTAGCAAGACCGCTCTTGCCAAGACCACGAGTACGATCTTTGCGTTCTTGGTATTGAGAAACACCCCAGAAATATACAAAAGACCCTCGACTGGGCCTATAACATTTTTTAACGTTTCTCAGTCCACTCAGCAATGGTCACCTGGCGACCCCATAATGCCCTCGGTGTTGAGGGGGAGGCATGGGATGAGGTGGACGCCACTGCCCCCCGTGTGCTTGTAGGGGTTAGGGGTCTGAGCTGAGAGTAAGACGATGCCGCAACTATTAAAACCAGATAAATAGAGAATATCTAGGTGCAGGAATACACTCCACTGGCTTGCAGTGACCTCTCAAATTCATTAAGTCAAAATGAAGACCAATTTCAGACTCAGCAGCATGATTAAGCAGAGAGACACCTTCAGCTCCACATTTAGGGTGGGGTGGCTTTGGAAAACACATGCTTCTGTAAAGCTAGACGCACACTTAAAAAGGACAAGAGAGCACGTTTAAAAAAATCAATTTTCATCTGTTTCTGAGCTTTGCTGAAGTGTAGCTTAGAATCATTAATTGCTGTAAGACGAGAGTCAATGAAAGGTGCCCTCAAGCATTGTGTGTGTGTGGCCGTGTTTGTGTGTGTGTTTCTATATGAGTCAGTGTGTTTCTCTGTGCTTCCGTGTGTCTGTCGCACTGTGTTTGTGCCTGTGTG